TCTCACCTCTACGAAATCCTCAGACTGGATGGGGTGTCCAGTCTCTACAGTCCTCAGACTGAATGCCTTGAGCTCCTGTCTCCTCCCACCTTACATTCCTTTCTCAGCCCAGCCATATCCCTTCCTGTCTCCACCTCCCTAGTATTGGGATTAAAGGTGTGTGACCATCCCAAGTGCTGGGATTGTCTTTGTGTGAGCTCTGTTTCTCTTTTAGACAGATTCAATCTAGTGTAGCCCAGGGTAGCTTTGAAATTACAGAAATCCATCTGCCTCTGCCTCCCAAGTGCTGGAATTAAAAGTGTGTGCCACTACTGTCTGGCCTCTATGGCTAACTAGTGGCTTAGGTCTGCACTCTGATCTTCTGGCAAGATTTATTTGTTAGATCACAAACAAAATATTGCCACGATCTCCATTTCCATAATCTACATTTTTAGTGTTTTTATTGAGCTGTACATATTTTTCCATTCCCCTTCCTTCCTCCCCTCCTACCCTATCTCATGCCCCTCCCCCCCCCATGCTCCCACTTTACTCAGGAAATCTTATCTTTTTTTCCTTCTTATGTAGATCCATGCAAGTCTCTCTTAGGGTCCTCTTTGTTGTCTAGCTTCTATGGGGTTGTGGACTCTAAACTGGTTTGTCCTTGTTTTATGCCTAAAAGTCACTTATGAGTGAGTACATATGATATTTGTCTTTCTGGGTCTGTGTTACATCACTATGTTCTTTTCTAGTTCCATCCATTTGCCTGAAAATTTCAAGATGTCATTATTTTTTACCACTGTGTAGTCCTCCATTGTGTAAATGTACCACATTTTCTTTATCCATTCTTCAGTTGAAGGGCATCTAGGTTGTTTCCAGGTTCTGGCTATTATAAATAATGCTGTTACGAACATAGTTGCGCACATGTCCTTGTGGTATGATTGAGCATCCTTTGGATGTATACCCCAAAGTGGTATTGCTTGGTCTTGAGTTAGATTGTTTATTAATTTCCTGAGAAATCATCATATTGATTTCCAAAGCAGCTGTGCAAGTTGGCAGTCTCACCAAAATCAACAGCAGAACTTTGTTAGTTATCAGAATGTGTGCAAGTTGGGTGCTCATTAATGTTCAGGACAGATGCTGTCCTCTGTCTTCTGACCAAGAGCTTCTCATCGACTGCCTGGGACATTCAGAAGCACACAGTGTGGAACTTCCAAAGATTTCTCTGGTTTTCTGTTTAACAGTCTTAGCCTAAAGTCATCCTGTTTTATTCTGTAGCCTGAACAGTGTAGGCGACCAGAATGTCACCCTAAAAATGACCGTGGAAGTCCAGAATCTTCTACACCACATACAGCTCTTTAGCATCAGGACAATTTTGAGATAGTTATTTTGAAAACATAACACTAATGATTAAAGAGGAGGAGATCATGAAGTGGAGAAGGAGAGGGAGGGGACAAGAAGAGGAGGATGGGGGAGAAACAATGTAAACAGCACTCACGCATGACACTGTCAAAAATTACAATAAAATAAAGGCACGATGTCTGCTTCATTAGAATAGGAAGGCGATTAACAAGTTATTTTTAATTGCAGCAAATATCAGGAGGTATTGGAATTAGATTATGCCATGTGAGACTGATTGGCAGGGCCTGCAATGTGGTAAGTTCACAATCTTGTCTTCATCAGCAGTGTTTGCAAAGCAGGCCTGAAAGGCAAGGCCCCCAACCCATAGAGTATGAGGCAAGCAGCAACTAATTAGAAATGTGATAAGCACTGATTAGGCAGTTACTTCAGGGGGAAAAGGAACAAGATGAGCAGATGCCAACTAGGGAAGCCTCTGTGGAAGAGATAGACAGGCTTGTTTAGATGAAAAGTTCCCTCCTGTCACCTGGGGAAGCAAATTCCCTCAAGATGGGGTCATTAGCATGTCATTAGCATGTCATTTGCACACAGTTTTTTTTTTTTTTAAAGAAAAGGTCACCACAAAACAGGAACTCCTAGGAGCCAGCAAGGCAGGCTTTTAAAAGGCAGTGATTGGCAGCAGGGCTGGTGTCCCTGTGGAGAGGGCTCTGAGGGCTGCTGCAGCTGTTCCTACTCCTGACCTCCACTAACCAGAACTGAAATGACCCTGGTGGAACAGCCCGGGAAGGATCAGAAGACCTTAGCTCCTGGGTGGGCTGAGGTGCTTGGCTCTGAGCCCAGAGACCTTGTGCATTTGGGAAAAAGAAAAAAAAAAAAAAAAGACTTTTCCCTCCCATGTTCTGGTAGGTGGCTCCCTTTAGTCAGTGCTGAGATGGCTTTCCCTCCCCTGTAGTTTGACTAAGCTGTGGTTGAGTGTGAATGGCCCCTAGAGGTTGACCCTTGACCCCTAGCTGGTGGTGGGATTTTGGAAAGTTGTGGAACCTTGAGGGGGTGGAGCCTCACTGGAGAAGTGGGTCATTAAGGGAAGGGGTCACTTGTAGCTTTGTAGCAAGATTCCCCTTCTGAATTGTGATTTATGATTGTGGACACAATGAGACTGCCTGCTTCCTGTCCCTGCTGCCATATCTGTTAATCCCACCGGACTAGAATAAGACCACTATCACAATACAATTTTGAGCCAGATTTGAAGATAGCTTTAATTAAACATTGACCAGAATGATGGACTCTGACCAGGTTCATTCCAGAATTCCCAGAAAATGACGACAAGTCACATTTTGCAGTATCTAAAAAGGCAAATCCATTACGCCACGCATTTCCCACCAGGTCCAGTTAGAAGCAAGCATACGTCGTGACACATTTCCTGCCCATGTACCTCCTGCCTACTTGTGATCAAACATCTCATGAAGCTGAGCCACATAAACTCATTTAGGAGAGGAAAAATAGTGGCTTATTATCTTCCGTAAATAACAGCCTCCAGCATTTCAGAAAGTGTCTGTTGTTGAACAAGGGGCACACAGGTTAGAGTCCTTTTTGTTTCATGGATCTCTTGGGCACAGTAATTAAAACTCAAACCTTAAATTAACTTTGGCTCTCACATGTCTTTCATTACCAACCACAGTGGACTGTGTCACCTTAAACTGTAAGCCCAAAGAAACCCTTCCTTTTTGCTAGTCAGGGCTTTGATCCCAGCAACCAGAAGAGTAGTTTAACTCATGAGCCAGACCACTGAGCCCCCCAGGGCTGTGTGTTGCTGCCTCTAACTTCACTGGCACCCAAGGTGGGCAGTCTGGTTCTGGAGCCCAGCTGCTGTCATTAGAACTCCTGTAGCTGGAATAGGAACTGAATGGAAACATCCGGATTAGTATGCAAAAGGAGAAAGCTTGCAAAGGAAGATGGGAAGCTCATGCTTACCTGGGCATTATCCAAGCAACAGATCATGCACACACATGCGTGTGCAGGGAGTGGTGTGGGGGTGTGGAGGGGCCCCTCGGGTACAAGCAGGAGTGCTGCAGGAGCTGCTTCTGCTCCCTCAGCCAATAGCCTTTGAGGTACCAGCCCCCTGGGGTGTGGTGTCTTCCGCTTTAAAAATAAGCAGCGGCAGCCCTCTCGCTCTCTTGCTTGCTTCGGATTCCACTTCTGGCTATCAGGCTTTTCCTGATCCTGCAGGAGGCTGTTGTCTAGGACGGTGATCTGTAAGTTTTTCCTTTTAAATAAATAGCCCTTTTATTAATCTTAATTCCGAGTTTGAATGGGATTGCTTTGTTTTGTGACTTACTCCATCATAGGAGAGCCAAGGACTATCAGAGCCCTGTAAAGGTCTGTACACCAGATGCTTAGAGGTTTTCTGCGCTCTTTCCTCAGCCCACTAGGCACTTCCATCCCTGATTGAAACAAGCTGTCTCTATTTTTAGACAAGAACTGGCAGCCTTCTGAATGCATCTCCTTTGATCACCATAAATAAGTACTGTTATCTCTCAGTGACTTTCAAAAACAAAGTGTTTTTGCCATGTATCTTTCAAAAAATAACATTTGTGAAACCCCAGGCTTCACCTTCTATTGTCTTCCCAACACCTGTTGAAATAAAGACATATTTGGTAAAAAACAAAACAAAAAACACACCTTACAAAAAATAACAATAATAAAAAATAAACATGCCTCTGATAGCTAGCAGATTGTGAAGTCATCTCAGGTGTCAGCACACAGTTCACACATGAAGAAATGCTATGCACACTCAACCATTCATTCCCTCCCCCCCAATTCTTCTCTCTGCAAGATTTTCTTCAGACCTTGTTAGGGGAGTGCTAGGCAGATTAAGCAAAGAGGAAAGAACATTCTGGCTCTCCAGAGCTAATAGACATGGGGAGGCAGATACACAGAAGGACTACCACACCCCATGGTGTGGCCTCTTTGTTCCACTGGGCTGGCCAGATTTAATAAGGGGGCAACATGAAACTCAGAAAAGCAAACACTCAGTTCTTCAAACTTCTAGCTCCAGGATAACCGGGCTTTGCCCCTGAGTGTACCTTGTTCTAAAAAATCTGTGTTCTAAAAAATCAATTCTTCCCCTGAAGCTGGGCATCCTCCCTCCCTCCTAGGCCTGATGGAGAATCAGGGTTAATGACCACTAAGTGTTTTGTTAACACTCAAGATAGGCAGACCCTTTCCACCTCCCCTGGCCTGTACCATGTGTCTCCCACACCACGTGTCTTTTTAATGTTATCTGGGATGTTCCTATAAATCTGCCTTTATGCTAAGTAGCAACTTAATATCCTTCAGGATGCAGGCAAGGTCAACTGAAGATGGGCTTCATCTGTGCAGAAGACTCTTTGGTGGGTCACTCACACACCCCTAACTCACCTTGTACCACACTTGCTAACTCATTTGTTCGCCCAGTGGGACTTTGATGGGATCATTACTTTGTTCTGCCCCTGGTGCCCTAATCTGAGGTTAGCAGACAAGGTGTATGTCTGCGCCCAGGGGAAAGGTACTCACAATCCACGTGGAAAAGTCAGGGAGGATTTGTAGATGACATTTTCAGCCATGCTGACAACAAGCCAGTGTGAGAAGTGGTTTAGCTACTGGGAATAGCAACGAGGGGTAAGATCGTCCATTAACTTTGATTTATTTGATCTACTTGACGTTTTTATTTATATAAAAGAAAAACTGCATAGAATGAAAATAAGTGCTTTAGATTTTGATATAAAAAGAACATGGTGCATTCACATTCCTATTTTAATACATGAGTATGGCTGAAGTGTTCAATAAAAGAATAAAACCTTCCCTTTATGCGGAGTAGTGAACAGAAGTCAGCATGGCGAGGAATGACTGCAATGCTATTCCTTGGTCTTTTTCTTGAATAAGAAAAAAATGACATAAACAAAACAAGCCACAGTAACATGACACTGTGTTCCAGTTTCTGATGATAACCCGGAAGAAATCACTTTTGAACCCTAGAAATCCCACTAGTGGACCAGTATTCTAGAAACTCACCGCTAGAGGGCGGTGAACAACAGCGATTGGGAGGGCGTCGGCACGCCCTAAGGTGCAAATGGATTTGGGGGATTTCCAAGGTGTTGCTCAACACACTTCCACAGGGCCGAGTACACAGATTTCTGTCCCATCCCCATCTTGACCATGTATCCTAAACCCCCCCTCTGATCTGAGGCCTCCCATGGTCCAGACAGAATAAAAAGATCTTTGGTGGTCCTTCAATCATGTTCCTATTTGGTTGAAAAGATGCTTCAAAAATACAATTTTTTTTCTTAAAGGCACTGTTGCTAGCCACATCCACATCTGCAGGTGGATTAGCAAGATCCCTATTGAAATCCCATTCTTTGCACTCATCCAAGTGGACACAGATTTCCAGACTCCACATGGAAGTTTTGTGTGTCCCCTCTTCAAAGTCGTTCCTGCAAGGGTTAGGACCATGCAGAGACCAAGAACTTGACCTAATGAGGATCATGCACAGGAGGTCCTGAGATCCAATTCCTAGTCAGCTTCAATTCATAACATCAGACAAGGTACGTGCAGTCCAGCATGGCACCAATGCATGGTGGCTTGAATGCCCATTTCTAGTGTGTGTATGTGTGTGATGGTGCATGTGTGGTGCATGTGTGTCTGAAGGTCAGAGGTCAAAGACAGGGTTATTCACCAGGATACTGTTCACCTTGCCGAGAGTCTTCTTAGCTGACCAATAAGCTCCCATGGGTGTTCACCTCCCCAGTGCTGAGATTACAAGTGTGTTCCGAGGACAATGGGTTCTGGGGGACTGAACTCAGGTCCTCTTGCTTGTAAGGCACTCGTTTTTATTTGCTGAGCTATCTCTCCAGGTTCCCAAATGCTCATTTCTTACAATGGATCTTGACTGGCAGCAGCTTTCATTTCCAGACTTGGGTGGGGGTGGGTAATGTGAAGACTGTTTAAGGCTGCGAAGAGAAGCAGAGGTGCCAGTCACACCATCTGACTTTAAATGGTGCCCTCTAGAGGTGGGGGGCGGGAACACACTTCCTCCTCACCTAGAATGGAGATTTTTCTCCAATACTTAAACTTTTACAGACATTGTGCTGACTAAGCAAAACACGGGCTCAAAGTATCCCCAGACACAGTTGTACAGTATGGGCAGTGTGTGTCATTTAAATTCTGTCTCCTATCCAGGCGCCTGGGAAGATGGAAGCCATGGGTGTTGCCATGGCAAGCTGGCGACTTCCGCAGGAGAGTGACAGAAATGAAACACAATGCTGCAGGGGCGGGGTGCGGCGTGTGCCACACTAAACCAAAAAAACAACTGAGAACAGCTGGGAATGAGTAATAGTAACTTCGGCACAGAAGAAAAATCAAACAGCACAATCTTATCAGATTCATGGGTGGGGAATCTGTCCTTATTGATTTCAGCGGCCCATGAAAGCAGAAGGGTGAGGCCAGCGCTCTAGGCAAGTCCACAGGTTCACAAGCCAAATGTGGGGCTTGAATGTCGATGATAATATGAACAAAAGCAAGGCACATGGAAGACCCTGGGACACAGCGGTGGGCTGGAACTTAGCTCCCTGGCCGGGAGAGCACCCGCATGTAGAGGACAATTATTGCAAAACAGAAGTGTTTTGTGGCCAAAGCAGGCTGTGAGGCATGGATCCTATTCATGCAACCATCCCCCCAACCCCACATTCGGGGGACCATTGCGTGTGTGATTGTCAAGTGCTAATGTTGTTCCCAGTCCCTTCTGCTTCCTTTTGGAACTCCTCAATAAAAGCTAATTTCCCCGGAGCATTTGATCTTTTTCTCTGTCTCCTTGCAGAGTATGGCTATAGATAGAGAGATATAGACATATATAGATATATAGATATAAAACATAGCTATTCATATTTACATACAGGCATTAATAAAGTGCAAATGTTATTGGCTGTTGTAAAAATCAATCTCATTTCCTGAGGAGGTGCTAATACAGCTTATGCCATGACAAAATCCAAGGCACAGAATGCTCTCTGTCACTTAGCCCCTACTGCTCCTCCTGCTGCTGCTGCTGCTTCTGAATATGGAGCAGCTATCAGGTAAGAAGGGAGCAAGTCCTTGGTTTCCCAGAAGCATCCGTCAGGATAGCATCCAGCTGCCTCTGGTCTTTGGTGAAAAGGCGGCTTCTGGAGGCTTGGTCCAGCCTGCCCAGAAAAAGCTATTTGGTAGTGTTCAGTGAGCCATCTTCTGGAATCTTCTCCTGGGAGCAGCTCCTCCCAGAGAGTCTATCTGGATGCTCCAGCTCACTGAAGCGCTCTGCCACACACTGGGCTGTGAGGCGGGCCTCAGGATCATGGTCCCAGCACTCTGTCAGCGTCTCACATACGATCTGGATGCCCTGCAGAAGAAGGGAGGGATTCCAAGGGCATCGTCAGTGGGTGGTCTCCATGGAATTAGCATCAACACATCGTTGTCAAGCGATGTCCTATCAGAATAGGGTTTAGTCTTCCTATGTGGTCATATGTGCACAGATGTGTCCCCAAGGGTGATGTCAGGTATCTTCCTTAATCTCTCTCCATCTTAGGTTTTGAGACATGGTTTCTCATTGAACCCAGCGCTCACTGATCACAGGAATTCTCACTGAACTCCAAGCTCATTGATCACAGGGATTCTTACTGAACCCAGAGACCACTGATCACAGGTATTCTCACTGAACCCCGAGTTCATTGATCATAGGAATTCTCACTGAACCCGGAGTTCACGGATCACAGGGATTCCCACTGAACCCAGAGCTCACTGATCACAGGGTTTCTCACGGAACCCCATGTCCACTGCCTTGGGACTCTTCTGTCGCCTCTTCCTCCACACTTGTCTCACAGGTGCACACCATGACACCCAGCTATTACATGGGTATCAGGGATCCAAACTCAGGTTCTAACGCTCATTTGCAAACCCTTTCCTAATTGTGCCATCTCTCTAGTATCTCGGGTCCATCCTTGGTGGCACGCATTATAAAGATTGTAAGACATATCCATTCCAGAGTCTGAAAGACCCATTTCCCACCTTAGGCCTTGGTTCTCTCTTTCCCTTTCCTTTCTCGGCATCTGGACTTTTACTCTTTCAGAATATAACATGGCTAGAACACTGGCAGCCTTCTGTTAGAACAAAGCTGGACACCCAAGCTCAGATGGAGCAGGCATTAGCCTGGGCTCACTTTATAAAGTCTATATTTGATAGAATGACTCAGAAGTTGCTCCCAGGACTGCCAAGGGTGATCCCATGATGCCCCAGTCACCTCCAATGGCATTAAGCCAGGCTCTTTGATATGACTGTCTTTGTATGCCAAATATACCTGACTGTAAGATATTCTGTAGCCTGTCCTCCCCAAGGCTGTTCCACCCACTGAGCATGACCACCAAGCGGGAAAGGTTGTCCAGACAGCAAGGGCTCTACCACAGGCTGGATTTCATTCTGCATCAAGAAGATTTTTGATAATATTTCAAGGCCTCTCAGAAAGTCAGAAGGTAAGTAAATAGTCTGAGACGTAGAAATAAGATCAGCTCCTTCCATATAGAGGCCAACATTGCCCTGGTGACTTCTGTATAGGTAGGACAGATACACCTAACAGTCTTTGTGGAGAGTTGGCACTTGCCTGCCAATCCCAGTCACTTTTACATCTAGGGAGCTCCCCCACCCTCAGTTCTTGATGTGGAATTAATTGCATAATTCACCTAACTGATGGTATTGATTGATGGCCCTGCTAAGAGTAGAGTGTTATTGTTGCTATACCAGAAACATTTATTTTGTTCTGACACAGTAATTACAGGCAGTAAATTGAATTAAATATTAAGCATTACCTTGAAATCAATAGGGCAACAAATCTCATTAAGAGAAAAAAATGTATTATGCAAATTTTCCCCAGAATTTTATCATAATGAATAACGGCTTCATTATAAGAACTTTACAGGAAAGACCTCAAGAGACGGTGAGCGACATAGTTTCAATAAGACACCATCCCAGCACCTTCTAATTCCTAGGTTTTTTTTTTTTTTCAAACAATCTTGCATTTTTAGAACCAAAGACAATTTGTCTGAGAGCCTGGTAAAGACCTTGACCCTGGGAAGCCTGGCTCACCTACTTCCTGATCACAGGGCTGGCTCTGGGCCAGGGCTGGCTCCACCACGCTTCCTGCCCTATTCGTCTTCCTGATTATGCCTGGCTTACTGCTTCTGGTGCTCACTTGAATTCCCCATGGCTTTAGGCAAACCTACATGCCCATAGCCAGCAAGGATAAAGGACTTTATCCACGAGAGCAGTAAAGGGCTCTGTTGTGTGGAAAAGCATCATTCTTACAGAGAGATAGGAAAATACTGTAACAGCTCTTTCTTCACCGGGGCTCTTCCTTGGTGCACCCCGTACATGGCCAACTGTCTGTCACTCACAGCCTAATCTTCCTTCTCCTTTCCTCCCACTCCTGCTATGAGCAGCCTTAACTTCCAGTTCTTCAGAAGGAATGATAGAGAGCCATGTAGACGCCACTCAACTGGCTGGCCTCCTCATCCTCCTTCACCAGCAAGCTTCTCTTCATTGATTTCCTGGCTTCCATCGTGGTGACCAGTCTCTTCCTTCCCAAGCACGCTCATACGGGCTCTCCTCTCACCTCCACGCATAGCCAGCAGATACGAGGACACCAGCTACCCGACAACCCTGCTTGCTTCTAACTGCTAAGTATTTCTCTGTGAAGTTGAAGAACCCCAGCAGAACAAAGTCAGAATTGAGAGGGAACGAGATACAGGCTCCTGGCGTGAAGACACTGGAAGAGACAGCAGACACAGCTAGCAAAATATCTTAATCCTGAATCAAGAGGGCTTGGGAAAGGTGACCAGTGCCTACAGTAGAGCTCCCTGTGAATGCTGTATAAGCCCGATGACGGCAACTTAGGAGAACAGGGTCATCCACCTACACCAAAAATTTCCTTAGGAATACAAACCAAACAGGGCTACTACGAACCAAGGGCCCTGCACTCAGAGTTAAACTCCATCTCCCAGAATTCTCTGCGGCCTGACAGCCGACTTCTCTGCAAGGCCCTTCAGGCCCTTCCGAGTCATCCCTGCTTACCTGGTGGTTGAGCCAGAAGCTGGGGATTTCAGGCCGTCCTCGATCTCTCAGCACGTTGTCCTTCATGCTCTCCACACAAGGGTGCTCCCTGACCTTGGAGCCAAATGGGGGTTCGTAATCTTTCACCTCTGTGAAGAGAACAGACAGACACCGTTGAGCACAGGGCAGCACATGGCCGAGAGAAGGGTGGTTGGCGAGTGCCTGGAAGGATAATACAAGGAATACAGGGGCAGAATGTGCCTGCCATTGCTAGAACACTTTGGATGAGATGGATTAAAACAAGAAGGAAGCAGGTGGTGGAAGAATGCTGGGAAATGGCCCACTGGTGACGGATTGGTCCTTCTTAGCCTCATGCTAACAAGGCCGACAGGGACCCAGCTTTCCCATCAATGCAGGCATGCTCAATGAGGGGATACTGCTTCTTAGGAAGGAATCAGGTTCTTCAGAGATGCAAAAACTTTACATATCATGGGCTGGAGAGAGAGAGCTCAGCAATTAGAGTGTGTCCCTCTAGGAGATCAGAGTTTGGCTCTCAGTACCCAACAGGTGTCTCACAACTACTAGAGCTCCAGGGGATCTGATGCCCTCTTCTGGCCTTTGTAGGCACTGCATTCATATGCACACATCCATACACAGACACACACAGTTTAAAAAATAAAAATAAAATCTTTTTTTAAAAAGGCAAATGTATCACAAAGCTTCAGGTCCTCCATAGACCCACAATATACAAAGAAATTCAATAAAATGTGTTAAATTTCTTGGGGACATTAACTCTACAAAATCATAAAATTCTGAAAGATGCCACAACCTGGAGGGTTCCTAAAGACACAGTAAAGGAAATAAATCAGATACTAAAGGCAAATATTATGTGGTCCCATGTAATGCCTCTCCAACAGTCACACTGGAGATTAACCACCATCTAGAGGAATCAAGAGGGAGAAAGGGAGAACCAGGTGGGGCCTCCATAGTCGGCTGGGGAAAATGTTTTCCTAATAAATCTCATGGATGAACACACTAATGCCTCAAGGGCTTATTTGGAGAGTGTGTTTGTTATCAGAGCCAGCTTAAAGCTGCTGCAGTCCTACAAGGCATCATCCAGCACTCAGGAGGCCGATGCATAAGGACCAGGAGTTCAGGGCCAGCCTGGGATACATAGGGAAACCCTATCTATAACAAGACCAAACAAGCCAGGGGACTGGGGATGTAGTTCAGAGGTAGAGTACTTGCCTAGTGTGCACAGGGTCCTGAGTTCAAACTCAATCCCCAACAACAGGTAAGAAAGTGTGTGTGTGTGTATGTGTGTGTGTACACAAGAGAGAAAGAAAGAGAGAGAGAGAGAGAGAGAGAGAGAGAG